CCGAATGCATGTCAAAATACCGCTTTTCGATCAGCGTATCGCAATACGTATCGTTTTCATATCTGAACCGGTAAGTACCGGTAAACCGTTTATATTGCGCAGCCCTAATTTTTACACATTGAAAACTGTCGCGTTGTCGCATTGTAGCCCTTTTTGAAGGATAAACGATATTGTTCAAAGAGCGACAATTGAACATAGCGCGAATGCAACAAATGGCCATGATGTCGCGTTGTCACTTTGTCGTGTTGTCGCGCTTTGGTACATTTGGACACCTTTGTTTTTGTGACACTGTCCCTTCTAGGATTCCATGACATGAGTGAGTGAGTTAGTTTTACGCTGCACTCAGTAATATTCCAGCCATGTGGCGGCGGTCTGTCAATAATCGTGTCTGGACCAGACAATCCAGTGATCAACAGCATGAGCATCGATCTACGCAATTGGGATACGATGACATGTGTCAACCAAGTCAGCGAGCCTGACCACCCGATCTTGTTAGTCGCCTCTTACGACAAGCATGGGTTGTTGAAGATCAATTCTAACCTGATCTTCACGGACATGCCATGACATGAACAAAACCTTTACTAGCAAGGGAAACATTGCTGACCTAAGATCCCAAGTCAAACGTGATACCAGTACCAAGTACCCGTTTAATTTTAGGCACAACAAACATGGACGTGTGCTTTCATTTGCCCGACACTATATTTACGAGCGCAGTCTAACATGGACATTTTCAGCATGTTTGAATAACAGTTTCTGTGTCTTTTGTCATTAATGACATGTTGTGCATCTGTGTAACATTGGTATTGCATGTAATGCCTGTGACACCTGCATCAATCGATTGCACCATCGATTGGTTGATTGATTTGTTGTTGAATGCCGCACTTCCAGCTATATGGCGGTGGTCTGTTTATAATCGAGTCTCGACCAGACAATCAAGTGATCAATATCATGAGCATCGAGCTACAAAATTGGGGATCGATAACATGTGTCAACCAAGTCAGCGAGCCTGACCACCCCATCCCGTTAGTCGCCTCTTACGACAGGCATGGGTTACTGAAGATCAGTTGTCACGATGGTTTTCACAGGTTTCATCACCATCGAATAACATGGGTGAATACTTTCTCTTACCCAGCTGTGTATTTAAACACCAACAAACGCTGACGTGCGCGCACTCACCCAATAACACACTCAAGTATACACATCAACCTCAAAGTGGCAATGTCACATTCGCAGATAACAAAATGCAGATAAAAAGCATACTCAATAAAAAACCCGAAAAATGTGTGTAATAAAAATCAGGTTTTTATTCCCATACTTTGTCCCCAAACGTATCACAATTCAATGGAAGCATTAAATGTACTAAAAATATATGAGGCTAACAAACACAAAAGTCCAGTAGGTAGAACAGGGCCCCGTTTCACAAGGCGATGGTAACGCTGCAATTGACGTAAGCCAGCGTTATGGTTTATGACTTACGTCAGTCGTAGCGTTACGTTCGCTTCGTAAAATGGGACCCAGACCTGCACACGGAGAACAATGTGACGTGCAGCCCGACCACGGCAATCTGTTGAGCAAAGACTAGTGGTAAACATGCATAAATAGTGGCAAATAAATAACTAGTGTATACTATTGAAAACAATTAACGTTGCCTCCCGTTGCCTCGAACTGGGGATGCGGGTGTATACGAACTGGATTGGTTGGTTGGTTGTTGTTTAACGCCGCACTCAGCAGTGTTCCATCTATATGGCGGCGGTCTGTAAATAATCGAGTCTGGACCAGATAATCAAGGGCCCTAGGCCTAGATTTTCGAAGCTCTCTTAGCGCTATGATAGTCGTAAGTTAATGTTAATGTATGGCACCGACAATCTTAGCGCAGTTTCGAAAATCTACCCGACTGTTCCTCAAAGCGATCGTAGTGCTACGACTGTCCAAGTCTATGTTAAAGTATGGGAGTTACGATCATCTTAGGGTTACGATCGCTTTGAGGAACGAACCCTGTTCTACAAACCGATCGTAGCGCTACGACTGTCGTAAGTCTATGCTAAAGTATTGGAGTTACGGAGCGCTACGATTATCGTAAGTCTATGTAAAGTATTGGAGTCCATCATTATTAGTACTGTCGTAAGTCCATTATGACGGCCATCTTAGCACTACGATCACATCGTGGAACGGGACCCTGTGTTCAACATCATGAGCATCTGTCTACGCAACTGGGATACGATGACACGTGTCAACCGAGCCGAGTCAGCGAGCCTGACCACCCGATCCCGTTAGTCGTCTCTTACGACAAGCATGGGTTACTAAAGACCAATTCTAATCCAAATCTTCACGGGTCTTAGAAACCGGTAGTATTTGGGGGTCGGGATGAGGGTGGGAGGACGTGTGTTGGGGGATTGTGGTGGTAGGCTGGGTGTGGGCGACAAGATGTTCGGGAGGTGTGTAGCATGGGACTGGTGGGTAGTGGTTTGCAAGTGGACTGACGGTGGGTGTGGGTGATGATTAGGGTGTGCTGGAGGTGTGTGGAACCTTATGGGGATGACTGGGTGTCGGGGATCGGAATTAGGGTTCATGAGTGTTAGGGGCTCCCGACGGATGGGGGTGTGTGGGGTGTGGCAGCAACATTTGTGTTAGGTTATGAGGGTGAAGTTGCAGCTGAGTGCTTGAGTAGCATGAGTAGGGGGCAGCTAGGTAGGTGTTGTTGTTTTGTAAGGGGGTGACAATGTCTGGGAGCTTGAGTGACGCGGGTAGGTATATGTACTAGTGGGTTCTTGTTTCGTGAGGTGGTGACAATGTCTGGGAGCTTGAGTGACGCGGGTAGGTATATGTACTAGTGGGTTCTTGTTTCGTGATGGTTGAGGTTGCGAGTGGGAGATGGGAGTTGGGATGGCGAAGTCAGAGATAGGGGTCGCGGCTGGGGTAGCGATAGTTTGGACTTAGTTGGAGATGTAATTTACAAGGAGAGCACAACAGTTCAGACGTGCGCATATGTACACGTTATAAGGTATTCGAGACAACGAGAGTCAACCAACCCTTGAGCATTGCTGAACAGGTCCTGAAAACACGTGAGACGGTGGAGGCTTCGTGTCCTGGATGAATTAACCCTGACTCATATACCACCCGAATCTTCCTCCAAATGTATTTTCAGTATTTGTTAAAATATATATAAAATCGCCATAACAATCTATACACAAATGTAAAAATAAATAAATGGATTTCAATAGTCAACTTTTCACATACATGCATGTTATGTTTGGATAAAGCGCCAAGAAGATTTGACGCGGAAACTGATGAGGGGATTCAAACCCGGTCTTCGGCGTGGCGAACGAAGCTAGGGCGATCTCTATCCTACACAGTGCGCCTTGATCCCTATTCCACATACCGGATCGGTGGGGTAGCCTAGTGGTTAAAGCGTTCGCTCGTCACGCCGAAGACCCGGGTTCGATTCCCCACATGGGTACAATGTATGAAGCCTATTTCTGGTTTCCCCGCCGTGATATTGCTGGAATATTGCTAAAAGCGGCGTAAACTAAACTCACTCACTGATCCACATGCCAATTAGGACTCAGCAGTGCGGAAACAGCACTAACTATCATTAAGCGCAACTGTGTATTCATATTACAAACTCATACGCTATGTCCCATGTACCTGGTGAGGCGTCAATAAAGACACAATACATAACTGTTATGTATCATAAATGACATAAATTATTTCATAAATACTATGCTATAAATAATGTACGAGTATATATATGCCTTCTATGTACATGATATCATTATGCAGTCAGGCCTTTCATTCAAATACAATGCACCTCATCCCAAGAGAAGTTTTGTATTGCTGAGAAAAAAGTGATTTAATGAGGTTGCACAATGGAGGTAATTTCTGTTTACTGCAGTGAAATTTACCGTTTCAAGTGCGATCATTGGGGCGATAATTGTTTTCCAAAACAAAACTCAGATGCTTTGTGTCTTGTGACTCGGCAAGAGATGTTTCATTCTATGGGACAAGACTCTCAAGGACGGTCTGTTATTTGTTCGAAATTGGCCGGTTTACATATCTTTAAGAAATGTACCTCGATGAAAAAGTTTTCAAACACCTTAATATCACATTTGGTGTCGCGTTATGGGTGCGGAACATTTTGGATGGGATCTTCTTGACCTTTTCTGTACGAACGGAGAGACAGGTTAATCTTTCGTGATCATCACTGAACATGCCCAGCTCTGAGATGTGTTTGTATGTCTGAATTATGGGCTTAATTTTGCAAGAAGTAAGATATTTACTTGAGTTTGACATGTGAACAACTGATCATAGTGAACAAGTCATGTTGGTGTTAGTGACATACTCTCGTCAAAAGCATCACGTTGGAACTAACACACACATGCTGTAAAACCTCTGAAATACCCACACGGCGAGGAAGGTTAAGATGAAAGATGCTTTTTGATTAATTTCAGGGACATTTTGGGCAAAATAGCCATTAAAGCGCGTGAAATCTGAATGAGTGAGTGAGTTTATATATATATTACAAACTGATGCTATTCGTTAGACGGGTGCCTTTTACCGTAGGTGTAGTGGTTGAATATAGGGATGCAAACGGATTATGGCAAGAAAGCTCTACACAGTGAGATGTTCCTTAGACCACTTGCACACCGGGGGTACCCGTATCGATGTAAGCATATCGCATTATGTTACCAGTACTATGCCATGCACCAATACCCGGATAACATGTCTCCCAGTGTTACTCCTCTACCCGGATCTCCCAGTGTTACTCGTCTACCCTGATAACATGTCTCCCCGCGTTACTCCTCTTCACTGATAACATGTTTACCCGTGTTATTCGTCTTCCTGGATAACATATCTCCCCTTGTTACTCGTCTACCGTGATAACATGTCTCCCCTTGTTACTCGTCTTCCTGGATAACATGTCTCCCAGTGTAACTCGTCTACCCGGATAACATGTTTACCCACGTTACTTGTCTACCTGGATAACATGTCTCCCCTTGTTACTCGTCTACCCTGATAACATGTCTCCCCTTGTTACTCGTCTTCCTGGATAACATGTCTCCCCGTGTTACTCGTCTACCCGGATAACATGTTTACCCACGTTACTTGTCTACCTGGATAACATGTCTCCCCGCATTACTCGTCTACCCAGATAACAAGAATATCAAGATTACACGTCTCCCAGGAGAACAGGCCAACCTGGATAACACGTCACAAAAACGCCAACGAGGATGCTTCTTCACAGTCAGCGACTACCTGACTATCTGTTTACCTAACCAGCGTATTATGCACACTTTCACGTGCCAGCTAATTATAGTTTCTCACTCATGACGTCATCATCCACCAGCAACTGATAGGTTAATGGCTAACCCGATGGCAACGGTTTTCATGTACGCGTTGAGTTTCTACCATAAGATTATCTTCAATATTTTGATCACTGGCCAACCTCTGAGTTGTTCAGTTTGATATAAGCGTCTGTGAGCAACCACGACCAGACAGAGTATTCTCTCACGCCCTTGAAGTACAATCACACTGTGAATATGGCGTTCGTCGTGGAGTGTATCTTCACGTGTTTGTTCAGGTGGTCTTTTCTTGTGAAGGCTTTTTTGCACGAATCGCATACGTACGGACGTTCTCCAGTGTGGATACGTCGATGACGGGTCAGCTCTTCGTTACGGATGAACGATTTCTTACATCCGGGTTCTTGACATACGAATGGCCTCTCACCTGGAATTAAAGGAAACATTTAAGGTTGAGCTGAATGAATTAGAGTGATGGGTGAGTGAGTTAATGAGTGAGGTGTGTGAGTGAGTTAATGGGAATGATGGGTGAGTGAGTCTAACCTCTGACATGTGGGAGACGTATGGGGTAGTCCCGTAAGTTCGACCTTTGGGTCGAGGTAAAAATCCTTTGATGTTTCTGTTGTGACAACAGTGTTGCTTTAAGGGATTAAGACACTGGCATTCTACAAAATGTGAAATGTGTTCATTCAGGAAACGAAATATGGCATGTGTACCAAAGAGTGAATGACTGTCACTCAATGACTGTGATTATGGTGATTACTGGTGAGTTATTCTCTTTCTTACATAAAATTACTTGCTATAAGAATGTTGGAAATGACAGTTTTCATCGTCACCTCCACAGCATCACTTATGGCAAATGTACAAATAGACTTGTTAGGAAGTTTCTTCCTACGTCTCGTAGTGGAAGATATCTCTGTGTATTTATGAACAGAGTCAAAAATAGGCTGATTAATTCTGTTGCTTGAAGTTTGATTACCACATTTCAGATCTCTTATTGGCCCAGGGTCTGGGTGGATATCTCCGCAGCATAAAAGTAAAATGATTATGTAAATTGAAAAGGACGGATTGTACAAGCTGAGAGATGAAAATAGCATTTTCAAATGGCAGAATTTTCCTAAAGCATCAGCATGTAATTTCAAATCGAAAACACCAACCGCCCGTCTGTAAGTTACAAGATCAACTGGCATCGAACATTGTTGGAGAAGTAAGAACTACGATGGTACAGAGGGCGGTTAAAAGGTAAAATACATCACATAATCCTGTAAAAGGCTGCATGCCATTTGTGGAAAGAAAAGGGACGTGCTATGACAAGGGTATACGCATCTTCTTAAAATATTACTGAACAACAAAATAAAAATAAAAATTATAACATCTATCCACTTTATTTATATGTATTATTTATCATGTAGAGAATAGAAATTACTGCCCCAATGAATGGTCAAATAAAAATGACATTTTACAGCGTCCTTGTTCAGATTTTTTCCGGTGAACATTTTAGCATTAACTGTGCCGTTGTAACACATTGACTGCCCATTGAGTGGAACAAGTCGACCTAAACGACATACCACTCCAAACCGACCAGTTTGTTTTTACACCCATCCAAAGGTCGAACTTACGGGACCTAACCAGACGTATTACGGTGTGAAAAACAACAGCCCGGAATAGGTTTACCATTGCATGGGCGTTGCGGACAAGTGAAGATCCGGGTTAGAATTGGTCTTCAGTAACCTATCCTTGTCTTAAGAGGCGACTAACGGGAGAGGTTCATGTATATCCTCGTATCCCAAATATGCAAATCGATGTTCATGATGGCAGTCGAGGTACGACACACACACACACACCCGCACACGCGCGCGCCAATCAAATCAATTTCGTAGACTCTTTGGGTCATTGGGGTCTGCAGGAACAGAGATAAAATCACATGTATCTGGAATTCACTCATAGGGTGGCCTACGTTCTACATTCGAATTCGATACACTTTACTAATAGCTGAAGGTGTGATAAACTGTGAAGTATGACATGACTCAAACAGAGAATTCGACGTACTTTAGAGGCAAGTCTGAAAAAGATGTTGACAATTGCATATGTCAAGAAATCTATAAACGGGCATACAAGTGTTAGTATGAACCGTCACTCCAAATGGTTAGTTAAAGGATCCATTCAACCATGACGACAAGCACACTACTGCAATATATGTGTACATATATAATGTAAATGGATCGAATTTTGAGCCGGGGCTTTTGTAAAGTACAAACCCATAGTTTATTCACGATTTCATACAAAAGCCGCATTTTATGGGTCTAGTGAATTCTATGCATACACGCATAAAAGACAACGACTAAAAACACAACCCTGTCTAACCCCTGAATCATATTTACAAAACATCGGGACGAAGGCGTGGTTTTGTGTGTGTATTACATCTACTTTAAAGCAAGTTTAGCAGAGAGTGACCCTTAACTACAAAAAGCTTTGGACTCCAAAGCTACTTTGGCGGATATATATTGCGATTTTACAGCATAAATCAGTGAGGGGCATGTGTATCTCCCGGGAAGAAAACGACTTTAGGGTTTTCCTAACGCTACCAACAGTGAGCGCAGCATGACCCGGGGGCCAGTATGATCTGAACTAACCACACCCTCAATAAGACAACCTGCTTCTAATATATTTGCTATTCGTCACGTGTGGTTGATTCACTGAGAAGGGCGTGAACGGGTACACTGTATAAAGGCTTACTGTGAATACAGGTTCTTAGCTTATCGTATGTTGTATACGCGATCATAAAGGGAGTGAATACTGTAATAGTGTTTTTGTAGTTGACAAATATCATGTCTATCATGACATGTTAACTTGTACTGGGTCACGCTGATTATGACGTAATTTTGAATGAGAGCCTGGGTGAGGTTTCATGCACTATTGCAACACAAATCGGCGGTTCGTGAGACACCATCTTAGCTGCTTTCATGGCAAAATACTGGGGGCGTAATTCTTTCATCGGATCAAAATGACATATTGGTTATAAGTACAGGTAAAACTCTAGTTGTTCTGCAACAGGGGTTCAATCTGTTATGCCCAAACAGATGGTTGTACTAAAGTGAGGATGAGAGAGCGACTTTGAATAACTGATTTTAAGAAACGTTAAGGAATATTCCAACAATATTCAAATTTCACCAAAGGAGGGAACATATAATAGACAAATTCAAATGTAACAAACAAATGAAGACAAAACTGAATGAATGAATCTACGCAATTGGGATACGATGACATGTGTCAACTCAAGTCAGCAAGCCTGACCACCCGATCCCGTTAGTCTCCTCTTACGACAAGCATCGGTTACTGAAGACAATCACAGAAGAAGAGGGGCAGTAACATTCTCAGTTTCAATAAACATGTGCGACAGACTCACCACATAAGCATTCCATTTATCAACGAATGGGCTGCCCTGACATGACCAGCATACTTGTAATGAGAGTAAAGTTTACAATATATTGAAATTTACAGATATTTCCAGTAATAGAATGGCAAGTATATTTTCCTAACACAATACAAAGCAAGCAAATAATTAACCTTCTGTTGTAGAAGAATATATAGTTTTACATCATTCAATGCTATACTACCTATTAAAAGTTGAGACTCACTTAAAATACTCACTACATATGTATATGTTATGCATATATGTATGGTTACATCGAAGATAAATTTCTCCACTAACTTAAGGAAACCAACTGCAAACCTTAAGCAGATGAATTGCACGAGGATCATGCATGAAAATGCTGAAAGCAAGTACAAATATCGTGCATGTGAACAGCTGCGTTTTGGTGTAAAGGTTTGTTAAGAATTCGCCAATTTTTACTGAGTTTCATCATTTCTTGAACTCACGACAATAATCTTTTCAACGTTACGAATTTGTTTTACAATACATCAGTTCATGTGTTAACAGTACCTTTCAACAGTATGGAATATTTTGTAAAATCTAGATTAGGAAACTTGACTGAAGTTAGTGCCTACATTTACACTAGTGTGTGTAAACTTTTGATGGGTAGTAAGTTTGCAACTTCTTAAAGGCGGACTCTGGTGTCTCGGCTCATACTCATTTCCATTGTATGTCCAGACCTCCTACCAGAGACATGCGGGAAAACATTATCTGACAGAATGATATACATAAGTCATGTCGAAGTGAAGCCAATTTAACCAAAACCTAGTACACCTTTAAATAAAGGAAGATTTTCACTTATAAACATAAAAGAAACTTTTCTAAAATGTATTTTTCATGATATGTTATAGGTCGTGAGATTCTTTTTTCGCTTTTTCTCATCTTGACTTTCATTTGCATATACATAGTAAACAGAACTCTCGTGAAATATTATCAACAAAACATCCCATGGAGTGTCGATAACACGTCGAGTTATCCCTAATTCGAGACAAGCGGGAGCTTTCATTACACTGTGAGGTTAATATATATGTGGGTTCGGTCTTATGTAGCTGTGGGTGTCTATAAAATAGGGAAGCGCAATCACACCATGGTACGGATGTGGATTCTGTCACGATCGGCGAGTTTCATTGTATTACGTAATAGGTAGTTCTAGTTAAAAAAGGTTTCACTTTAATTCGCTTATGATAGTTTGTTAATTCAAAAACCATGATTCAAAATATCCATTTATTTATTTTTATTGATGAGAGAATGATGTTGATGAGTGTAAGCGAGAGTCTACTGCTACCAACATATGATGAGAGGAGATAACAACCAGATCATCCACGGGATAGCTATATAGAAGCTGGGAATATTCAAAACAATTACAGCTTCGTGCCTAAATACAAGTTGTTTCTCTCTTCTCTCTCGCGCGCGCGTGCGTGCGTGTGTGTGTGTGTGTGTGTGTGTGTGTGTGTGTGTGTGTTAGAGGGGGAGAGGCAGAGGGAAAAAAAGTCATGTTACAATCTCTGTACACAGTATTACAGGGTTCCAAGTTGTATTGTGTGTATTAGAGGTAGCGAGGCAAAAGAAAATAGAAGTCTATGTACAAATACTAATTGCATACAATTTGTACGAGGTACGGAATAACGAGAGAAAATGGTAATGACGAGATATTGCACCTGGCATCATCTCACATCCGTACCAATATATTTACGACAAATGGTTCGGGGTCTCGTAATTGTTTCTATTTGTGCCACAAGACAAAGGAAAAACGTTACTTAGACCTGTGAAAACCTGTTCTCGTTACATTTAGATGTGACTCAGGCTGTCACAGATTTTAGCATGAAAGGACAAAGATGTCTATCCCCAAGTCCTTATGTGGCGACGATCGACGCCAACAGCATCTCACAAACCAAGGACATAAAGAGTATAATGGTGATAACATTTGGCTATTGTGGCCCCCTGCGTACAATATACAGTAGGAGAACAGTTAACGTTAAGGAGCTTTGTCAACACGATCGTTTCATGCTAACTGTGTCACATGAAAATAACATTTCACCCATATGTACGAACATTACACTTAATAGGAAAATACATATATCAGTATATTATTCCTCAAACACATTATGCATTTCCTGTCAAAAGAGAATGGTGATAATATCGTTGTATTTACATCTAGACATATAGAATATATCCCTATGTGTTTATCTATGTGTATTTTACCGTGGGAACAATTCCTTGTTGAGAATGTGTGTTTATGGAAGGAAGTGCGGAGGGAAGTTTTTGTGTTTATATGAATATAAATATGGTAAAATACATATTGTATGTGAATTAATATTCATAGAATATGATAAGCCCCGACACGTCTTTAACAAAGTTATCGTGAGGATCTTGCACATGCACGAGCTTAAAATACACTTTTCATTATTTTATATTTATTTTATTGATAATCGTATTTAGTTACAAAAAGCAATACGATTTTTATTTCATCTCAAATTTTATTGTTTTTATGATGCATTTAGCAGTTGCAGATTATATTTACACAAACTGAAATATGTTATTGTAAAATTGTATAATATCTTCAGATAAATTGTGTGTTATTAATTGACACTCGTAACATAAATTTATAAATGAAGAGGTCCGAAAAGTTGTTTCTGCTGCATAACTAACATGCGTGAAGAATATTAACACAACCATATGACTGACATGTGTGATGAATATTAACACAACCATATGACTGACATGAGTGACGAATATTAACACAACCATATGACTGACATGTGTGAAGAATATTAACATAACCATATGACTGACATATGTGATCAATATTAACACAAACATATAAATGACATATGTGACGTATATTAACACAAACATATGACTGACATATGTGACGAATATTAACACAACCATATGACTGACATGTGTGACGAATATTAACACAACCATATGACTGACATATGTGACGAATATTAACACAACCATATGACTGACATGTGTGACGAATATTAACACAACCATATGACTGACATATGTGACGAATATTAACACAACCATATGACTGACATATGTGACGAATATTAACACAAACATATGACTGACATATGTGACGAATATTAACACAACCATATGACTGACATATGTGACGAATATTAACACAACCATATGACTGACATATGTGACGAATATTAACACAACCATATGACTGACATATGTGATGAATATTAACACAACCATATGACTGACATGTGTGATGAATATTAACACAACCATATGACTGACATGTGTGACGAATATTAACACAACCATATGACTGACATGTGCACATTTCAGACCCTCTTAAACCAAATGTAATTCGTCCACATTTTGACTTCAATCCCCCAAAAGTGTTCTATTTATTTTTCCTGGGTAAAATATTTCATGATGTCAGAAGGAATTTGATAGGAAATACATATCGATAACGCCGTTACTATATATAATTCGGATATCATACTTGTGTATCGACTACTGTTTTCAGCCAAGTAACGTTGTCATAGCATTTGGGGTTTAGTTTAGTTCAGATCGGTTCAGTTTAAATATATTTTATTCACAAAGTGAAAATGATTGGGGACAAGTTCTTACAACTTATAAAACCCCGTAAAACCATTTTTTGGACAATCTTGTTTTCAGTGCATCCTTTTTGCAGCTTAAACTGACGTAAAAGTCATTGTGATTATTTATTTACGTATGTTGTGTCTTTGAAGGTATATATTTTAATGTGCTTCTTAATTACACACAAAACAAGAAAAACTCTTTCTTGACTGAACACAATAAGTGTTTAACTGGGCAAGGTCAAAATTGAACCTCCGTCTTTTCTTTCATAATATTATGAAAATAATTTTACTTATGATTTGAGAGATTTGTGTTAAAATGTGAAATACTAACTGTTTCTTTTTAAAACCCCAGTACAACTAACTACACGTACATACGACAACTATATAAGATATCGCTGGTCTGCCATGACAAGGAACGTAGCTGTATGCTAAGATTAGTGATCAGTCTTTAAAGCCGTGTATCATACGGTCGATATCATAATATTGTTTTGTGGTAAATTAAGAAACACAACTTGTCATATGTTCCGTATGCATGTACATGTATTTACATGTCTTATAATACAACGTGTTCACCTTTACTTTCTTATTACAGAAACATAATAGCGATGTGTGGAATTTGTAAGAAGATTTAAAACTTATGTTACAAAATTATTATGTACGGGTCCTCTGATGGTTTGTTGACTAACGCCGTACTCAGCAATATTCCAGCTATATGGCGGCGGTGTGTGAATAATCGAGTCTGGACCAGACAAGCGAGTGATCAACATCATGAGCATCGTTATACGCAATTGGGAGCCGACTGACATGGCAATCAACATGTCTATCCAGTAGATGTCACTGACCCATATGGATTGCCAATAACGAAGAAGATAGTTGATCAATTTTGACGTTTCTTCATCAGAGCAGTGTGTGTATAGGAAGAAGTAGTGAGTGAGTTCGGTTTTACGCCGCTTATAGCAATATTCAAGCAACATCACGGCGGAGGACACCAGAAATGGGCTTCACACATTGTACCCATGTAGGGGAATCGAACCCAGGTCTTCGGCGTGACGAGCCAACACTTTAACCACTAGGCTACCCCACCGCCCATATAGCAAGAAGTAACTAACAGCAGTCAATATGTACGTATTGTACGTATCACAACACGCATATATCAAAGAGATATTTGACAGAGGCAGCAGATATACTATATTTTGCTATAAGTCAGGTGTCCTTTATTGTCGACAATAGCGTCAGTATATATCTGGGTTGTTGTTTTTTAACCAGGTAGACAAGCCATTGAAAACATTAGCGTCGATCACAGTATGAGTGTGTTTATTGTTAATTGTCTGAGAAACTGACACCAATCTGACACCAAAGTTTTTAATAGAATTCAATGAATAGACCACTGTTATAACTGTCTGGTTTCAACTTCATTTGCATTATTGTATTAAAATAGTAGTTATGAAATATAACTTTTTTATGGCACTAGTTATGCAAGTATTAAGTCTTATATTGAAATAAATGAAAAAAATTTTAAGGATAGATACACATACTACATGCTTGAATAATATTCCTTTAAAGAAACGTAAAGTTGATTTACATGCATATTTATAAACGTAAACACACATACAAGCTTGTGCTCCCCTTTACAGGAATATATGTCAAGCATGTTCAACTGTGGGAGTTTCCCGCTATTAATGTTAGAGTTAGATGGTTTGAATATTAAATATGCAGAAATACGCAATATTCGTCCCCATGATTGTAAAGATCATCATGCATACTTTATTAAGCATAGAATATTTCAGGTATAAAATTCTTATTTATACAGCCCAGAACTTCTCCGCGTTTCTAAGCGAACAAAAATGCTTATGCTTTAGACATGTGTTTCATCATTGTCATCAAAGTGTGAAGATGTATTCATCAACATGTATTCATTTGAACGAAGTTCTGTTCAGCATTATCAAGAACTATGTGAGGTGAGGTGAAATTGCGTTTAACGTCGTGCTTGAGAATATTTCGCTCATATGACGACGTCAAGAACTATGCATAAGCAGGTCTTTGAATTGCATTTAGAAGGGATACAGATAAGGAAGAGAGGATGAAGAACACTACGTTTCGGAGTATATCCTTAGTCCTTCATCATCCTAATAAAGAAGCTGACATCCATAAAAAGCTTCCTTATGTATAAGCAATAACATGTAAGGAAATGGGTAATGGCTCACTCGTGACTTGGATAAGTTGATGTCATTAATACAAACGTCTAAGACACAATCTTTAGTTTCAGAACGAGTGTGAGCCTCAACAGCTGGGTGTAAGAACCTATACACCAATGTTTGATGCTGCTAAGATTTAAGCAAACATAAAATGGATATTCTATGGTGATGCATGAGACACGGGTGTCTCACTTTTGGACTTTGAATTTGAGTGTTTCAGTAACTGTTTTTAGCAGAGTAAAGTTTTGATAAAGTTTGTAGATTTTGTTTAGTGTGTAGACATTTCCCACGGCAATTTCTCACTAAATCTGATTATTCTTTAAGCGCAATGGTCGGAGTAATAGTATCCATATTAAACAGATTTCGTTGTAGCTGGGGCCGTGGGTAGCCTAGTGGTTTAAGCGTTCGCTCGTCACGCTGAAGAACCAGTTTCGATTCCCCACAATTGCACAATGTGTGAAGCCCATTTCTGGTGTCCCCTGCCGTGATATTGCTGGAATATTGCTAAAAGCGGCGTAAAACCATACTCACTCACTCGTTGTAGCTAGTTGGAGTCCTACCTGTGTGTATCCTGATATGCCCAAGTAGCTGTCCCCGGTTACTGCAGCTAATTACACAATACGGGCACTTGAATATCTTCATCTTGGATTTGAACCGCCCGCCGGACTTTACACTATCTGGGGACATTCCCCGGGGGCTGTCGTCCAGGGAGGGGGAACTATCCGCGCCCCGACTGTCATAGAACCCCGACACAAAATGACGTGGACTGCCAGACATACTGAGATCTTGGGGTCTTTCTGATATCCACGGCCATGCTGGTCTTCTGGAGCCATGGTGCTCACGTTCCCGTACAGTACCCTCCCCAAGTCTTGGCGACGTTGTCACATAGTCTTGTTCATGAACAGGGTCCCTCGCTCTTTGGTCAAGTAAAGAACTGAACCTTGAACAACACGTCGGCGTGTACGGCTTCTCCCAACACTGCACCGAAAGTGTCAAACCTCTGGGTTCGACTCCGGGTGGCTTAGGGTCAAAATCGTTCACCCTGCTCGAGTCTCTGATTAGAACTCTCGGAGAAAATATTTTCGGAAATCGAACAGCTGATACCACCTCCATTATAACTTGGACACAAATTAATGAGATGAGTGAGTCATTTCTCCACTTCGCGAGAATTCGTTCCAAATGCAGTCACGTGGTTGGGTGGATATTTCCCGATTTCTTTACATATGTTTTCAAACCCCATCTTCGCATACATAACATTAGGAATATGGGACAATGGCCGGGACCAACCTCCACTTCCCATAAGACCGCATGTTTGCAGAACAGGGTTCGGCGTGTTCCTCTTCAAATAACCGTCCTTTGAGACCGTCCATATCAAGTCCTTCACCAGCGCAATTGCAGCTCTCATTCAAAGCTTAAATAGTACGCAGTGAATTAACCAGAATCGCGCCCACTATTATTCAGTATCTCACCACCCCAACCGAAACTAGTGTTTCCGCCCGTAAATACGGATCCCCTGTTTAAATACATGTGACCATCTCGCTGACACTTCCACTGTGATTGGACAAGCGAGCGAGGTAAATACATCTCGATGTACATAACGCAATGTGCGCTCATAAATCATATACTTTCACGGATGAGAGGCTTGGGAAAAGGGCGTTTCACTCCGTTAGATAAAAAAATAGAGTATTGTACTGACTCTCACTTAACGTTAAAGACGCCAAGCACATGTGGGTATTCTCCGTTTTGTATTGAGATCTATGTATAGAGGGCGCTCCTGTTGGCATTGTACAGTGTATTATTTGATAACATTGACTTACTGTTAAGAACTGAACGAGTCGTAACGTAATTGCATACACTTGGGTGTGTGTTTATCCAAACTTGCTTGCAACAATGTAACATTGTATATTGTCAAGTTGACGAAGGGTTATATTTTTTCACGGCTATAGACGTATATATATATATATCTCAAGGACACATTGTCATATAGTGGGGACTCTTATCACAGTGGAAATATCGTACTTATTTTTTACCTGTAATCTTGAAAGTATGAAAGTCCAAACTTTTCAATGTTTATGATAGTGTCCCGTGAGGTTTACGTATTTGTAGTATCTCAACGAAGTGTTAAGCAGTATATGCCAATTCCTTGAGTAATACAGTAGTGAGGAGGTGAGTGAGTGAGTTTAGTTTTACGCCGCACTCAACAATATTCCAGCTATATGGCGGCGGTCTGTAAATAATCGAGTCTGGACCAGACAATCCAGTGATCAACAGCATGAGCATCGATTTGCGCAATCGGGAACGATGACATGTGTCAACCAAGCCAGCGAGCCTGACCTCCCGATCCCGTTAGTCGCCTCTTACGACAAGCATGGGTTACTGAAGGTTCATTCTAACCCGGACCTTCATGGGTCCTATTCTATTTGTAGTATCTGAACGAAGTGTTAAGTAGTATATGCCAATTCCTTGAGTAATACAGTGGCGAGGAGGTACAACACTGTTTACAAATATAACTTGTTGAAGAGAAAGTAGTGTTTTGTTTGTAATGTCAGTGGATATAATTAATGCAACTGCTTTTCTCAATATGAAGATAGTGTCTCCCTTGATTATCCATCTTCTCTCCACACCGACCAATCCGTCCAACTTCCCTTCCCATCCGTTGATCTACCGATCCACATCTCTTACTCATCCACCCACCTTCCCTTCCTATCCGTCGACTAACCCATCCGCCCACCTTCCAATCCCATCTGTCGACTAACCCATCCACATCACCACCCATCCACCATCCTTCCCTTCCCATCCGTCTACCTACCCATCCGACCCACCTTCAATTCCCGTCCGTCGACCTATCCATCCACATCACCACCCATCCACCCACCTTCCCTTCCCATCCGTCTACCTACCCATCCGACCCACCTTCAATTCCCGTCCGTCGACCTATCCATCCACATCACCACCCATCCACCCACCTTCCCTTCCCATCCGTCTACCTACCCATCCGACCCACCTTCCATTCCCGTCCGTCGACCTATCCATCCACATCACCACCCATCCACCCACCTTCCCTTCCCATCCGTCTACCTACCCATCCGACCCACCTTCCATTTCCGTCCGTCGACTAACCCATCCATCACCACCCATCCACCCACCATCCGTCTACCATCCATCCGACCCACCTTCCCTTCCCATCCGTCGACCTACCATCCACATCACCACCCATCCACCCACCTTCCCTTCCATTCCCACCCGCCCATCTGCCATTCCAATCCATCGACTAACCCATCCACATCACTCACCCATCCACCCACCTTCCCTTCCTATCCATCGACTTACCCATCCACCCACCTTCCCTCCCCATATGTCTACCTACGCATCCACCCACCTTCCCTTCGAATCCGTCGACTCATACCTTCCCGCCCACCTTCCCTTCCCATCCTAGCCTGTCGATGCATTTTAGTAATTGGATTCCAGTTACATCCTTGGATCTGATCAGTGAGTTAACACTGGGATAACTGGTGAGTTTCGAGACTCATATGTTGAGCGAGTGAGTGGGAAAAGATTTACGCCTCTCAGCAATATTCCAGCAAAATCACTGCAAGGTACAACAGAAATTGTCTTCACGCATGGTACCCATGTGGGGAATCGAACACGGTCTTCGGCGTGACGAGGCTAGCTACCACTAGGCAACCCCACAGTCACGACACTCGATGAGAATGACTTGCGAAACAATGAAATAATTTAATGTGGACATTCCTTGGTATCATGGAGGTACATCCACAAAAACTTGAGACCACTACGTACTTGTCCCCAAAAGGGCCACTCCTGAGTTAATTTAGTTTTACGCCGCGTTTAGCAATATTCCAGCAATATAACGGCGGGGGACACCAGAAATGGACTTCACACACTGTACCCATGTGGGGAATCGAACCCGGGTCTTCGGCGTGACGAGCAAACGCTTTAACCACTAGGCTACCCCACCGCCCCTTACCTCAAGAAGCAGCACTAGAGCAGGTTCTCTCTTTGGCATGGGAGCGGTGTGGCCTTGAGGATGACCTCCAGTGCTGGAAAACCTGAGGTCAAGGACGCTGCTGTCTGATTGGCTAATATCGACTTCCCATCAACATCTCCGTTGTTATAACACGATTCATTACTTGAAAGGAGACTTGTATATGTGAATCATATAATTGTCATTGCCACTCTACATGTGTCCATCTCATGCCGCCCGAAGGCTATGATATTAATACAAAAACGTACATCTTTTAATAATTTTATTGAACGAAACGCAGATTGTAAGAATTTTTGAAATTGGTGGAATGTGTGAACAACTAAACACATGGAAAAGAAGCTGAATTTAAGTATTTAACCATTACAGGTTTGAAACAGTCAAGGTAACGCTCGTAATATGACATTGAAATGTCTTCTGCTTCGTTTCGGACATCTCTAGTTTCAGCTTAATGGTATAGTATCCCAAACTATGGCTGTCACAGACACCCGAAACCTTATTTAAAAATATGGAAAGTATATGATAAATAGGGATGACACGGTATATCGCGGTATCAGTAGAACCGCGGCGTTTTGCCTTCGGTTCGGTATACCGTAATGCAATTCAAAATGTCGGTATTTTCGGTTTTCGTACCGTCATTTCTATCTAGTCATAAAATGACTCACCGTGGTAGCGTACCGTTTCACCCCTAATGATACAGACTCGGTATTCCCTGATGTATTGTATTAATACCACTGAACCTTTAAAGAGGTACTCTTGTCAATTATATGCGATCTTCTGAAATAATAACTTATACTTCAAATATTTTTAGAAATAGGACCCCGGATGTCACAAATGGTGGTAAGAATGATCTCTTTGATGAACCCTATGCTTATCCCCAGCTGGCCGTAATCAACATAATTCGAACCTCGGATGTTTCGAACTGTTTTGAGGTCCCTTCGAGTTCGTCACATCCGCTGTGCATACATTTTGAACAAAGTGAGTTTTATTGCGAGAGGACGAGCTTCTTTATTTATACACTTAGCGTTCTCCTAGAACATGTTAAATCCTTCCCTATCCCACGTGCCCATGTCAAATCGCCTTTGAGACATCATGTTCATCCAGTTGGTGACAGGTTTGGGAGCGGCGAGGGTTCCTTGCATGGGGGATTTCCTGGTGGGTACCGGAGATCTGAAATAACAACAGTGAGTGAGTATGGTTTTACGCCGCTTTTAGCAATATTCCAGCAATATCGCGACGTGAAACACCGGAAATGTACCCATGTGGGGAATCGATCCCGGGTCTTCAGCGTGACGAGCGAACGCTTTTACCACTTGGCTACCCCACCGCCGGAAATAACAGCAGCAATGTAGAGATTCTCTAAACCCTAGGCGTCAAGCAGCCCGATGTTAAACCTCGTTATTGATGATGAACCCGTAGTGAAATCACAAACATTGTATAGGTATGTTTATACAATAATCAGACCACTCATATGGACTCCACGCAGCATGGGACTGCTCCATGCGCAGTGAGAGAGTGAGTATAGTTTTACGCCGCTTTTAGCAATATTCCAGCAATATCACAGCGGGGGACACCAGAAATGGGCTTCACACATTGTACCCATGTGGGGAATCGAACCCGGGTAAAACATGCAATAGGTGATATGACCTGTCCGGATGCATTATAGACATTTTATATGTACATTTTCACGTACGTACTTCTATAGCATGCCCACAGAATTTCGTGTAATTTCATTGCAAAGCATTTGCTATGCCCCTAATGTTATAGCTATGCAGTTTACATATGAGACTCGTTCTCCAAGTCGTTGAGACCGGTTTCTGCTAATTTTGACAATTATTTGTACAGAACACTATGTTAAGAACATGTAAATGAAATCTGGTGTGAAAATGTTTACACGGTCATGGTCAACGCGCATGCGTACTGGTACAGGTAAACATACGCTCTTCCCAACAACGACTCGTGTTTACATACCCAAATACACCCGTATCTTCACGCCCATGGTGGGTGACAGGGTAGGCGCGTTTTGTTTACTCATTAATAAAAGCAAATATCCAGGCACGCGAGATCTCGCGATCCTATCTGTTGCTAATCACGTGACACGGGACACGCTATCCATACAAAATGGCCTCTTTGCAAAAACAGACCCGACTTGCCTTCATTGTTGGCACTGCGTGCGAATCGGGGGATTTGGACTTCTAAAAATACGTATACGTATATAAATATCTAAGTCACTCGAAGATGAGTTTGACGGTGACTATTTTGTCCGTTTAGTGTGGCCGTTGTCACGTGATGGACAGGCCTCATGAATGAGTCAAACAACACTAAGAACACCATTTAAGCTGCGCCAAAACGTATCAATTCCTACAAATACTAATAATATATTTTCAAGGGATGGAGAAACTATTTTGGTATTTAGCTTATTATTTTATCGACCCCGCTGTTTGAAAAAACAGTATCGGTAGTGAAAAACTTGTGAGCTGACGCATTTTACGTAGAGGGTAATGTCCGAGTAACTCTCCATTCCTTCAAAATAATGGACAATGTGTGAAGCCCATTTCTGGTGTCCCCCGCCGTGATGTTGCTGGAATATTGCTAAAAGCGGCGTAAAACCAAACTCAGTCAGTCAGTCAAAATAATGGAGCCTAGGCCCCGGAGCGGCCGACGCCCATTATTTTTAAGGAATGGAGAGTTACAAGGATATTACCCTACTTAAATTACATTCAAAGTATTGGGAATATTTCTGTAATCAAAATTAAATGTCAAAATGACAAAATGAAGGTTTTATTTCGAAAACGGTAGTTAATGTTAATGTTAAAAGAGAGAAAATACGTTATTTCAAAATACACCAAGCTATTAACTCCATTCCTAAAAAGTAATGGAGCCAACAGACAATGGAATGACGTCACAAATGTAATTTAATTACGTAGAGTCGTTTGTCACGACCTCGCACATCGGTAGTAAACTACTTGTTAGCTGACGCATTTTACCTCAGTAAAGTTGGTTGTCACGACCTCGCACATCGGAAGTAAAATACTTGTTAGCTGACGCATTTTACCTCAGTAAAGTTGGTTGTCACGACCTCACACATCGGTAGTAAAATACTTGTTAGCTGACGGATTTTACCCACGTGGTTGTCACGACCTCTCATTCACTTTCGAAACGTCCCCACTACGGCAACGTACCCTGCGTTTCTGACGTCCTTTGTGTTACACTCCTCGACGACGAACGTGCCAGAACACCCCTTCTCCACCCACCAGTGGGTGGCGTTGTAGTCGTAGTGCCTCCAGTGTTTAATGCCGTCCTCTTCATCAAGCTGAAACCCAGTCAAGTTACAATTGTATTTATATGCAGTATAATTGTATTTATATGCAGCATATTGTACTGATATTGCATTTATATATAAGAGACGCTACCGACTTTCGGTTACCGACAGTTACTGCTTGAACAAGGGCAGTGGGGTAGCCTAGAGGTTAAAGCGTTCGCTCGTCACACCGAAGACCCGGGTTCGATTCCCAAAATGGGTACAACGTGTGAAGCCCATTCCTGGTGTCCCCCGCCATGGTATTGCTGGTATATTGCTAAAAGTGTGTAAAACCCAACTCACTTGCTCACTCATCCAAATTTACGGGGGTTCATCGTAGTGTCAATTTGATGAGCGGCGTGTGGAAAACTGCTTAAGCTGAAAACTTTACAAATAGACTGATATCTCCGTACAGGCCTGACGTAACGTCAATATTTAGTGACGTTACAGAACTATAGATAGCGCTAAAGGGCGTTGTTTAGAACAAAATAGGTACCTCATCAGAACATACAAGCACGCAAGAAGCTAGTGACGTCGACAAAGATGTCTCGAGTGAAGATGCACCAACGTGTGACGTATATGGAGACTCCAGACATATATGGACCGAGGTAGCTGCAGTAAACACATACGTGGGGACCGCCTCCGTGGTGTAGTGGTTAGAGCGTCCGCCTGGAGAGCGGAAGGTCGCGGGTTCGATCCCCGACCGCGTCATACGTTAAAATATGGTACTTGTTGGTCCCTGCCTGGCGCTCGGCATTAATGGGTACAAGGACTGGTCGGCTCGGAATCAGTATACTGTGTCTGAGTGGGGTATTCATGCTTCACTGCGGCATGGTATCTCAGTGGGCTAGCACTATAAAATCAGCTTCAGTCTGGGCTAGTACAAGCAGCCGCACCATACACATACACACGCATGCACGTCGTCATATGAGCGAAATATTCTCAAGCACGACGTTAAACCCATTTCACCTCACCTCACATCCGTGGGCCCTATACAAACACTATACAATCAGTACGCAAACTTTGTTGCCAAATGTTAAAAGAGAGAAAATACGTTATTTCAAAATACACCAAGCTATTAACTCCATTAACTCGTGTTATACATCTTTTGGTGAATAAATTACAACAAGGTTTTGTCCGTGTCAACTGTAGAGGCGACTCAATTAATAGCTTCATGTGATGTAGTTTCGCTTCGCCAGGTCTACAGCCTAGCTGTTTATTACACATGATATGATCACACGACATATTGATGTGTTCTGTGACATCTGTTTTGGAGAGGTCACAGATGAAGTCGACTGTTTCGCAAGTGCAGAGTTAATATCAAACGTTATTAAATTCTCCTGTATTCTCAATGTATGGATGTTATTGTAAACGAGAGCAAACGGTTTTTTGTTTGTTTGGTCTTTTTTAGGCAGGCAAAGCTATGTTTAAAGTACATAATGTCACAGTTCGTTGAAACACAAGATATATTTTGATGCCATAGATGAATGACCTTGAGGTGTTTAGAAATATGAACAATGGATTCAATTGCTCGCCGTTCGTCAAGATTGTTTGGCAGTCGTGTCAAAAGAGTCAGCTGTACATGTTTGTAACAGTCAGCTGTAGTTATTGCCTAGACTAACGCTTAGTCTCTGAATATATATAATTTTGAGTGTAACAAATAAACCCATTTAAATTTAAAAGGAGCCCCAGGGAAACCAGAGTTCAGAACCTGTCGAAATCTAGACTTGCTTCATTTAGGGCTTTAGTATTGCAGGGAGGGCTATGATGTAGGGAAAATAATGTAGTTCAGGGACTGTTAGACAGACTAGTTATAACCGGAGGGGAACAGCAAGGATCACTAGGTCACGTGACCATGGTCACTTGAACGTATGAACTCCATTATTCACAGGCCGTGATGGTATTGTTGGAAATTGCAAAGAGCCACGTATGCTGTCATGACCAGTATATCCGAATATTGGGGAAACCGAACGAATGAACGGTCGAAGGAACGAAAGAATGAATGAACGAACGAACGAACGAACGAACGAACGAGCGAACGAATGAATGAATCCAATCTGCAGCCTGGAGCAGTTTGCTACATTGAGACCTGTTCTATCATCAACAATTGCTGTTGGTTGTCTGTCCTCAAAGCGAGTAGATGATTTCAGTGTTTAAGTTATATCACCAGCCTATCAGCCTATCAGCAGAGACAACGCAGGTCTCAGACGTTTATCAACTTGGGGTAACAGTGCTGGCAAACCTATCCTTACAGTAAGACTCCCCGAAGTATTTGAAGTGCTGCCTGGTCTGTTTATCTGCCCCTAAATATTAAGGCAAAGTTCGAGAAAACGAAAGATTTACTCACACTGAAGTCGCACCAGTAGACGGTGTCAGGGTCTCTCCAGACGTTGTGGACGGAGATAATCTCGAAGGTATTGTTTCTTCTCTGGAATCTCTTAGGTCTGTTGTTTGGTCTGGTCGTCACGTTCTGGCGGTACTGGTTGCACAGTTCTGTGGAAAATAGTATTGTACGCTACTGGTCGAGCGGAATTGTAAATTGTGCAGACAGGAAAACATGGTCGCGATCCACAAAGCTTTCGTAGCACTACGACTCATCGTAACTCTACCACAGGCGTACGATTGGTATGGTGCTACGAACGCTTTGTGGACATTGTCACTCCGTTAACGGTGACTGAAATATGAAAGTATTGTGTGAATATAGTTTGAATATTGTTCTGTGGAAAACAGTTTTTTATAGCGATGGTTGAGCGGAGACAGATGTGAATGTATTCTGTGAATACAGTTCTGTTCTCTGAACAATACATCTTATTCGCGTTCAAGTTGAGAGACAATAATATGCCTGTATTATGTGACCATAGTTCGGAGGAAAACAGTATATTACACAAATGGTCATACTGAAACTAAAATCTGCCTGCTTTCTGCATCCAGTTTTGTGGAAGACAGTATTTATTTTACAAAGTTGACCACATCACAGAAAAGAACCTTTCTCCATTGCTCGTCGAGGTTATTTGATGGTAAATGAGGAATTAAACAATAATATACTTTGTGCTATTACCATAGCCTTAAAGCTTACTCCTCATAAATTGAGGGGCGGTGGGGTAGCCTAATGGTTAAAGCGTTCGCTCGTCACGCTCGTCACGCTGAAGACCCCGGTTCGAATCCCTACATGGGTACAATGTGTGAAGCCAATTTCTGGTGTCCCCCGCCGTGATATTGCTGGAATATTGCTAAAAGCGGCGTAAAACCATGCTCACTCACTATTAACTGTATAGCGTGTCAGCGAGACCCAACGGCGTTGATATTTGATCATAATATCAATCACTAATTTGTCTGCGTCCGACTCGGTTATTTTCATTATCGTGGAATATTGATGAGTGCGGCGTAAAACAACAAACATTTCCAGATCCTCCCACTTCAGGCGAAAGCGACGATAAACATACACACAAACCGGTTAACAATTATGTGTATGCTTACCCGGTCTGGCATCTTCCTCGTCGTCAGCTGCGGCTGCGTTGACGAGGAGAACAGCGGCTGTGACGGCCAGAGACAGGTAGAAGAGCTTCATCCAGGCCATCGTTGATCGGTTCCTAAACAGGAAATGGGGTTAAGATTTGACCCTAGGGAGGCTACATACAAGTAAGCATAACGATTTCATAAATGGTTCTGGGTACAATGTGTTAAGCCCATTTCTGGTGTCCCCCGCCGTGATATTGCTGGAATATTGCTAAAAGTGGCGTAAAACCAAACTCACTCACTCACTCACTAAATGGTTAATTCTTTTTATATATGTGTGTGTTCCAACGGGAGATACACAATGTATGTGCAACGCAAATGTTGCTTGCTGCGTCGTAAAACAACATTAACTGACAGACTTATTTCAGAGCAATATTTTAATTGTACGCTCAGACTACTGAACTCTCCCGTAGTTCAAACCATACCTGAGTCAAAAGCTTTGTTTTTCAAGTTTATTTTTTTATGCTGACAAATACCCTTTACCCTTTCAGTGCCATATCTTTTGCGTGGAACAGTGGTCCTTATTCCCATTTCCAACTTAGCACAACAATTTTCCCGCTTATGAAAGTTAATTCATTATGCGGTTAAATTGGCGATATGATATGCTATTTCATGAAAGGGGGCAGGGTGTTTATCCGTATAGAATACTGTTCTTCAATACATCTGATTGTCTAGATATCAATGGCAGAAGATTGTTGTTCTTTTTAGTCAGTTGTTATAGCCGAGATTTTACAATCCATGTCAACGAAACCGTTAATCATAGTAGTACGGGATTGACCTGAGTTCGTTAAAATCGATATTTCGTTATATCCGTAGTTATTGCTGTTGCTTTTCCACACCTATCATTATTTAGGTATCATTACTTAGGTATCATTATTTAGGTATTATTATTTAGGTATAATAGCGCAGGAAAGTGTCACCATATAGACTAAGTGAGCGACTGTTGTTTTACACAACATCTCGGTAACAACACCAGGTAACTCTGGGCTTCACGTATGTTACCCATGATGGGAATTGAACACCGACCGTCGGTGTGACAAGCGAACACCTTCCCACTCTCCTCTCCCCCATCCATTTTTATTAAAACACTTTAGTTTATACACATACCAAATGTCATATACAAAAAAACACACGTTTTATGGGCACATTTCCTGTCGAAAAGCACAGTAATATAAGAATGATCTCAACATTTCGGCTTGTGGGGATTTGAGAGAACAATCAGTTTATTCAAGATGAAACATTATACATATACAATGTACAATCTTAACTTCTTTCACAGAATTAATTCAAAGCCAATAGCCCATTAACATTCCTCTAGATCACTTTCATCGACAATATTCACATGGGGCCATACAAGTGAAATGTCTATTTTAATTTGCCTTTCACATTAATCTGCGAATAATATTTAATATTAAAAGAAAATGTTTGAATACCACATGCATGTCGGTGACACAGGTATTTCCACGTGTGTACACACATCACCTGCCTTGGGCTAATCTCTATGACAGTTTTATCACCGCAAGCAGCAACGGCTGCATGACTTTAATTAACGGACAGGGCGACAATCTAAACATATTTCTCACTGCGACACATGAACTGCAAATAGCAGATATAGAAAATTTAATTTGAAACATTAATATTATTTTATATATAAATGAACATGTTCAGTTGTGTAGATAATAGGTTAAACATAAATTCACGTATTCACAAGGAGTTTTGAACCTGTTAGTCCGCGAAGACTGGCTTAAGGAAGATACTTAATCCTAACAATGTAGATACTTAAATCTGTGCAAAGGTTTCCGTGACAGATAACACACCATAAACACATATTATGACGTCACACATGTTGGGTAAACGGCTTGAATATATAAAAACTGTATGCTTATATTTATGTTTAATATACTTAGTTATATCAATATTTGTTGACAGATTTTCACGAACACTTCCAACAAACAAACATACATACATACATACATACATACATACATACATACATACATACATACATACATACATACATACATACATACATACATACATACATACATACATACATACATACATACATACATACATTTGAGGCAACTGATATTTTTACTTCAATAAGCAATCAACCATATAATAAAAATGAGACACATTTAAAAAAAAATGTTCACACAAGCCAGCGATGAACATTTTCTTAATCAACAGATTTTACTAATCATTAAAATGAGAGTCACAATATGTATTGAAACAAAGCCTTACCTTCTCGTGTTAGTTTCTGAATATCCAGAAAATTGGAAAATGGAACGAGTGAAGGAGTTCAGAGATAGTTATACGCATGCGCTGTATGGGAACTCATCAATCACTGCTCACTTCCTGCCTCACCCTGGACAAACCAGAAGAGCCTCAAGGCATTGTGGGTAATTAAATCTCAACCAGACATTCGTTTATATCAATAACATAACACCTGAATGGATATTTAATTTAATTATTTCATATTTTATACTTGAAATATTCTGAAATATTTTTCCTGGAGTACCACGACAGCGTTTTTCTAGATCTATTGATGTGAATTCATGAAATAAATATTTCGCTACATTTTTGAGAGCTGCAAGTTATGGATTTAGGGTGTAATTAATGGCTGCTCATCATACTTATGATGTAACCACTATGATAGACGCTGGGGATTGTCAGCTAAAATCTATGTGAAATCAATTAGGTGGGGTTATTGCTGAGGCCCCGGACATTACCTCAAACCTAATTAGAGGCGATGGAGTAACCTAGTGATTAAAACGTTGCTCGTCACAACGAAGGCCCGGGTTCGAATGGGTACAATGCGTGAAATCCATTTCTGGTGTCCCCCGACGTGATATTGCTGGAATGTTGCTAAAAGCGGCGTAAAACCATACCCACTCACTCACTCACTCAAACGTAATTACAGGGTTAGATTTGGTCTTCAGTAACCCATGCTTGTCGTAAGAGGCGACTAACGGGATCGGGTGGTCAGGCTCGATGACTTGGTTGACACATGTCATCATATCCCAATTGCGTAGATCGATGCTCATGATGCTGATCACTGGATTGTTTGGTCCAGACTCGTGTTTTTACAGATCGCCTCCGTATAGCTGGAATATTGCGGCGCGGCGTTAACCAAACAAACAACATCAAACGCAATTCCCGATCATAACGCTTTAGCGGCAGATCATGTTACCCCTTTTCAAAATCTTAACACGTGTTATAAAAAATATGGACAGTTCTCCACAGCGTGCATTTATAAGTCTGCAGCTAGTTATATATTAACCCTTCATTGGCCGATGGTGTGTAGTAGATTTTACCTCTCATCAGCCTATCAACTTGTTGTTTTACCGTTTGTCTACTTGGGGCGGTGGGGTAGCCTAGTGGTCGAATCCCCACATGGGTGAATCATTGGCTCGTCACGCCGAGGACCCTAGTGGTCGAATCCCCACATGGGTACAACGTGTGAAGCCCATTTCTGGTGTCCCCCGCCGTGATGTTGCTGGAATATTGCTAAAAGCGGCGTAAAACCAGAACTCAGTCAGTCAGCCAGTTTGTCTACTTAATCCCGCCTCCTTTTTGTGCCTCTTGTAATCATGTAAATGCTGGAGTTGATGTTAATCTGATGTTTGTCACAACATATTATGTACACATACATACTTCTCATCACTTGGTTGTAGTCACATTTAGCTTAATAACGTTGTAAGAATCTGCACCGAAAAATCGCTTTATGCAATAAACAAGAAGTTGTTACCCATAAGTCTGTTGCTTCATTATTGTAAAGGTGTACGGTTTAAAACCGACAAATAACCAAAAAAGGTATAAATTAATTGCACTATACAATTAATGGGCATCATGTTACATGCCATTTTACATGCCATTAATTAGTACCTCGAGCCCCTCTCCTGGCTGTTCTGTTAGCTGTACTCACTCCCCTGTAACTGGATTTACTGCTGCTAAGCTCGTTAACTGTGTTGGGGGTGAGGCTTTGTGGTTTAAACATATTTTATTCTATTCAAGAAGAAAGAAAAGGATTGGCAAACAAGCCTAAATGGCTTATATTAATGCCGCTCCATGATACATGTGAAGGTTCACATTTGTGCATAATGTTGTACATATTTATAGTGGTTATATCAAGTTATCTTTGAATAATAACAATCATGGATATCAACAATTTATCTTGGTTTTGTTTCGTGGCCAGTTGATACAAATAAAAAATAAGAGAAGCTACAAAACTTTATGAATCAAAACGTTTTGATGTAATAATGAATTGATGGACTGACCGTAGAATATCCATATTCGTCTGATGAGATACTGAGTTATTGCCACTTAGCACATCCCGCAGGGAGAAACCTTTCACATAGAAATACGATTCGTATCGAATGATATTATATTTAGGACACATGAAAAAATAGTGGAATACATCCTCATAATCTTGTGAGCAGGAACAAGAAGCATTATCAGAAATGAAACGATTATACTTATCACTGTTTAAGTCACTGCATCCCAATCTAAGGCGGCAGTGTATTATTTGACAAAATCGACTACCAAAATTTAAATCGAACATTGTGTCGGTATTATCTTGTGGTGTGATTGAATTCTTAAACTGTCCAACAGAGGAAGCGTTTGTAGCATTTGTAGGTAGGTCATTCCACAGTTTAATTGTATCGGGCAAAAACGATTTGGCATAATTAGTAGATTTGCATCTTATAGTCTGATAATTTTCATTATTCCTAAGATTGTAGTTACTGTTATCAGAAACATTCCCTGGAGCAAGATCACAAAGATAGTCAGGAACCATATGGTTTACCATTTTGTAAAATAATGTTAATTTAGAAGTTTCTCTCCGTTTCGATAAGGAAGTCAGGTTTGTCTCATGATATAGTTTCGCATGGCTTGTACCTCTAACTGCACCGCATATTGTGCGTAAGGCATCTAAGTGAAGGTTTTCTAGTGGCAAGGACTGTTCCTTTGTACAATTGTCCCAGAGATGACAGCAATAGTCAAACAGAGGTAAGATAAAGGATTTATACATTGTTTCGAGAGTTTTGCGTGATAGTCTATATTTAAAACTACGAAGGCAGTTAATCATAGGGCTAATTTTCCTTATCATTTCATTAATGTGGGAATGCCAGAGGAGGTTTTCCTGAAAAATAATGCCTAGGTGTTTATGAGTCTGCACTTCATTTATAGGGGTACCATTCATCTAGAGGGGAGGTTTCGTAGAAGGTTTCGTTTTGTGTGAAAACTGGATAGTTTCAGTTTTGTTTGGATTAAATTTTACTTGCCAGGTTTCCGCCCATTTAGATATTCTGTCTAAATCTGAGTTAAGAATAAATGCACTCGTATGGGGGTCGTCGATTATTACACAGAGTGATGTGTCGTCTGCGAAAAGGCGTATATTACTATGTCGTTTATGTATATTAAGAATAAAAGAGGTCCAAGGACTGATCCTTGGGGCACTCCGGCTATTATCGGTTTTAATTCTGATTTGTAACCTTGGATAACTACTCTTTGCATTCTATTTTGCAAATAACTTCCAAACCATTTCGACCGCCTCCGTGGTGTAGTGGTTAGAGCGTCCGCCCGGGAGAGCGGAAGGTCGCGGGTTCGATCCCCGACCGCGTCATACCAAAAGACGTTAAAATATGTACTTGTTGGTCCCTGCTTGGCTCTCGGCATTAATGGCTACAACAAGGACTGGTCGACTCGGAGTCAGTATAATGTGTCTGAGTGGGGTATTCATGCTTCACTGCGGCATGATATCTCAGTGGGCTAGCACTATAAAACGAGCTTCAGTCTGGGCTAGTACAAGCAGCCGCACATACACATACACACGCATGCACGTCGTTATATGAGCGAAATATTCCCAAGCACGACGTTAAACCCAATTTCACCTCACCTCACCTCCAAACCATTTCAATAACTTCCCATCTATCCCACATGATTTTAGTTTATGGATAATCCCTTTGTGCCAAACTTTATCAAATGCCTTGCTTATATCGCAGAATACAGCTCTTACTTCTTTTCCGTTGTCTATAGTTTTAGCAATAAAATTATACAAATGCGTGAGTTTGTAAGCTGTTGAATCTCCTGGCATGAATCCAGATTGTAAATTTGAGAGGCAATTGTTATCTCTCATGAAGTTAAAGACATATTTAAATATACATTTTTCAAAGACCTTAGATACACAAGATGTTAAGGCAACGGGTCTACAGTTCGAACAGTCGTTAATATTACCTTTCTTGTCGATTGGTATGACTGATGATTCTTTCCATATGTCTGGGAAAACTGATGTTTGAAGTGACTTGTTAAAGAGGTAGTTAATGCTAGTGACGGAGGGGGATACCAAACGTAGGAAGCGGTTTCCAATACCATCTGGTCCACTCGCTTTGGTAGTGTTTAACGATGATAGAACATCTTCAACATCCTGCTTTGTAAGATATAAATTCCTCATATATTTACTATTATTGTTTAAGGTCATATTTGGAAGATCCTTATTAGGGTCAGCGATTGATGCCTGGTCAATAAAGTAATTATTTAAAACGTTTGCTATTGATTCTGGTTCTTGATAGACTTCGTTATTGTGGGAAATAGGAGGAAAGGAGGTACTTTCAGATTTTCTGTTCATATAGTTTTTAACTAAACGCCACCATAGTTTAGTGCTATGATTATTGTTTATTTGAGTGTCTAATTTTGTTGTATAATCTTTCTTGGCTTTTCTAACTGCAGAAGTCACTTGATTTCTTAATGATCTAAAAGTAGCCCAGTCATTTTCACCATTGTTTTGTTTCGCTATTTTATGTTAGTGAGTAGGTGACTACCAGTACTTAGGGAGATATGAATGCAGTACATTGGGGAGATATGAATGCTGTGCATTTGATGTTCCCCGCCCAATAATTTCATGGACATAACCTGGAAAATAGTTGAACAATGGAACCATGGGTTGTTTGAAATTTCAACTGCCTGTTATTGAGAAATATAACCGACTGTATGAAATGACAAGAGTCATAAATATTGCAACAATGAACTAATGTCAAAAGACACAAACACTGATAGTCGTATCAGAGGGTGTATTGTTGACATTAATAGTTGGCTACAGATACATATGTATGTAATTATTATGAAAAAGAACATAAATCTTGGCCTCAAGTAGTTGCAACCATGACAATGCCATCAGAATGTTTACAGTTTGTGAGATTTTCATGCACCGGTAACTGAGTGAGCAATAGTGATAGAAATGCTATTTTAACACGTTGACTGCCTACCACGAGTATCAATGTAACAGAATGTGCTACTACGAGTTATCTCATAGCTACATCAGAGGTACTTTAAAACAAATGTTGGCAAAATAGTCATAATGAACGAATGGTTT